TTATCAGTTTTTTCCTCTTCCATGTGTTTCGCAATCAGAATTTCGACATTTTAAAAAATAAGGAAGTCCAGCGGAAGTGATTGAAGAATTGTGTAAGATGGATGTTGATCGCCTACAATCCACACGAAACACGTCAGATTTATGGAATGCAAATTTTATAAAAAGAACATGACTCAGTATGACATTGACGACTATTGCGTGACTTGCCCCTGAAAACGACGAAGACAAACATTCTAAGAGAAAGCAAAAGGAAGAAAGAGGAAAGCAACAACGAATAGTTATTGACTCTCGCCTATTTAAAGAGTCGACGCCAGAGTATCATTTACTACGAGCTCCATTTAGTTTGATAAGTGATCGAATATTACAAACCTCAGGTAAGATGGTCTTTCTTTGATCTATCAACGATGCGAAGCGCATTATTTGAAATTTTTAACAGACGTTTTCTTTAGTTAATTTCACATATTTATCGGAGAAAGGCTTGTTCATATTCTGAAACAATATACTGTACTAGCGAGAAGCCGTGCATACTGCACGGAAGCGTTTGTTTCTTTAACGTACAATCTCAAAACTTTAACCTCTCACTCGGTAACAGACACACAAACACTTAACATTATGGACATAAAAGCCCTACTGCGTGATATCTTTATACGACTAATTGGCCATGTCACCTTACGATCTTATAGGCTTATCCCTTTATAGCCTTACCCCGTTATAGCCTTCCTCATTATAACCTTAATCCCTTACAGTCTTACTCACTTATTACCTTACTCTTTATAACCGGACTCCTTTATAGCCCTACTCCCTTACAACTTTACTCCCTTGTAGCCTTACCCCTTATAGCGTTCCTCCTGATGGTCCTCCCCCTTATAGCCTTCTATCCTTATAGCCTTCTCTCCCTATAGTCTCACTCCTTATAACCTGACCCCTTGTTGCATTACTCCCTTGTAGCCTTATCCCCTTATTGCCTTACTGCTTTATAGCCTTATCCCTTAATAGTCTTACCCCTTAATAGTTTTACTCCCTTACAGGCTTACTCTTTATAGCCTTACCTCCTTATAGCTCTATGCCTTTATCACCTTGCCCCCTTATAGTCTCACCCGCTTTACAGGCTTACTCTTGTATGGCCTGATCCCTTATAGCCTTACCCTCTTATAGTGTTCCCCTTATAGCCTGGTCCCCTTATTGCCTTACTGCTAAATAATCTCATCCTTTTATAGTCTTACCCCGTTACAGCTTTCCCCTTATAGCCTTAATCCTTCATAGCCTTATTCCGTTATAGTCCTACCCCGTTATCACCTCGCCCCGCTTATAGCCTTCTCCCCTATAGCGTCACCCCTTACAGTCTGATCCCCTTGCTGTCTTACTCTTCTTATGGCCTTACCTCCTTATTGCCTTACAGCCCTATCCCCTTATCCCTCATACCCCTTATAGCCCTTTCTCATGATCCCCTATACCATTATACCCTTAAGTCTTACCCAATTATAGCCCTACTGCTCTGTAGTCTTATCTCTTTATAGCTTTACCCTGTTACAGCCTTACCCTTCTATAGCTTTATCCTTCCCCTTACAGTCCACGCCTCTATAGCCTTACTCCTTATAGCCTTACCCGTCTATACTCTTATTCCACCTTTAACTTTTGACCTGGCACAGACAGACACTGAATATTATATGTATAGAAGATTCTCTTACCACTTGCAGAGCCTATTGGTACTCCCATATAATAGTTCTTGAGGACCTATGAGTACCCCATATGACAGCCTTTGAGGACCTATGGCACCCGAATATAGTAGCCATTGGCGCCTTCCCTTTGTAGCCTTATTTGACCTTTAATCTTTGTCCTTTAACCTTTGAACTTTAACCTGTGACCTTTAACCTCTGTATAGAGTTCTTAGCTGAACTTCTACAATGTTCTGGAGAACATTCTAGAAACTTCTACCAACGTTCACATAATTTTCCAACGTTCTAGAAAATGCTAGAAACCTTAACCTTCAACTTTTAACTTTTCACGTTTTTCCTTTAACCTGGCAGAGAAACACACAGACACACACACTGAACATTATATATATAGGTTTGTGATACGATATTGTTGTTAATTACCCGACATATGTGAGATGTATTTATTTTTAAACACTAAATATAGTTGGTTACCAGTAATAACAATGTTCTGCTGCTCATTCAGCATGCTACAGTATGCTGGTATTTGTTCTTTCGAAAAAACTTGTCAGCTCAGTCTCTGTTGGAGCTAAAATGGGCAATTTACATGAGTCACCACTAGAAGCATAGAGCAAGTTTGATAGGAGCAGAAATCTTCGAAAAACAATAATAGATCGAATCAAATGGATTTTTTCTGTGTCCATTCCGAATATTTTTTTGAATTATTGAATGCTATTCGCATCTCGAAAAGTGTGTTTTCGCTTTTTCAAAAAGTAAAATGTGAGTGTGGATGTGAAGGTATATTGATGGGGTTATGGGTCTAAGTGTCGAGATAAAATTTAGAGTCTTGCAATGTAATACAGTAAACCTATTCTGCTCTATCTTACTCTATGATAGAGTAATGCTAGGCCAATTCTAGAGTAGGGTTGTACTATGAAACTCAGATGATACAGTTGAATATTGGTTTGAAAAAAGTAAAACAAACGTTAGCTGTAGCCTTCAGCATTCCAGTGCGGTTCAAATCTCAAATTTAGAGATTTTTGACATGAACATCCTTTAAATTTTTATTGCGAAAACAAGCTCATAAAGAACCGACTTGTTATCCCAAAACGAAGAATCTGTGGAAAAATTTACGAAATATTCTACTTTTATTTCTAGTCTTAAAATGCTAGCATCTAGAATCGTTGAATAAAACACTTCTCTATGCGTCTGTAACATGTTTCTCGCAATCACTCTCTGTTACACGTTACGATAACTTTTTTGCTACGTGAGGTTGGATGGGGTGGGTGAAGAGGAAACCCTAACCACACTCAGTTACATCTACCTACCCACCCCATCATCAAATGGTAAGTTTGACATTTAAGAACGTTGAGAGGCCGCGTTGGCAGTAAAGTATACTCCAATTTATTGAATTGTAGCTTTTCTAATTAGAATAACTTTGGAATCCTGAAGTTTATATGAACTATTGCCCACTTCAAAATAAAAGGCGGGTGGGTATTTTTTGAACAAATTTTGATAGGAAAATGGTAGAGAGCTGCGGTTTTCACTGTTGGAAATAGCAGATAAAAACGCATCGAACCATATAAGACAATTACTTTTAATTTGAACTTTTGAAACCTTTTTCAATAGTTGAACAAAGAAATGCCTTAAAAACAGGTATGATTTTTCCAGAAAAAAACGAAAAAAATTCAAAAAAACTGAGTTTTTTTGCAGAAAATTGCTGGCAAAGTGGACTAGAATTGTCGAATATAATGCCTAGAACTCCAAAAGCAGTAAAACTTTGTATCAAGCCATATATATATAGTTTTGTAGCTCGTCAGCTGGCGATTCTAATCCACTCCTCAAAGTTTAATATTTGTTATATCTTCATAGAGTAACAGTCTACTCTTCCAAAATGACCATAAATCACTATTTATATATGAAATAAATCCCAACAATTTTATATAAATCGATGCGCTGGATCAGCCTCTTTCCAACAGTGAAAACCACAACTTTCTATCTTGTTTCTATCAAAAGTTATTCAAAAAATACTCACCCGCCTTTTATTTTGAAATGGGCAATAGATATTTTCCACTGCGAACAGCTATAAATGTCTCTTATCCTTGATCTCCAATATTTCCCTATAATGTCCACCTAAATAAGATTTTTCTCTCTTCCAGTCTATGGATGAGTGAATCGGCTTTCAATACGTATCTATCGTCTTGTACTATAGACTAGAGTTAGAGTACAAAAAGTAATTATAGAGTAGGGAATGGTGCGACAATACATATCTTCGTAGGACTCTAATGTAAGTGCCAGATGCGTTAATGTCAACCCCTGTCTGTCACCACATACATCTTATCCATGTGGCTTCGAGAGTTCGCTCGTTGATTAACTGAATAGGTCAGCATATGAAGCGTGTTCTCCTACATTAACATGAAAGATTGATTCTTGCATTTAGACGACTATCAATTCACGGTATCAAATAATATGTCATCTCCTGCTAGAAAGGTAATTAATTGTGGAGGTCGGTGTTGTCAAAAATGTGGTTACTGTTGTGACTGGTACCACAATGGTAATTGGAAGCGTCGTGATGATACACAATGTCGTTATCTTTATGCTGATCCTCGTCATGGCCCATCTTATCATTTTGATTTTCTTGATCGTCTTAGTCATCCTTATCATTATCTTGTAGGTACTGCCAGTGCTCCATTCGCTGATGCTCATACTGGCCGCGCTTATGCTTATGGTAATTGGGGTCTTCTCTGCATCTGCAAGGAAAACATTTGAAAATAATCTCGACTTTTTTACCTTGTTTCGGTTTAATTGTATTAAATGATGTGCTTTGTGAAAATCACGAAAAAAAACACAATCCGACTAAAAAAGGGTGTGGGTGTTGGGTGTGGGTGTGGATGGGGTGGGGTGGGTGTGGGTGTGGATGTGGTGGGTGTGGGTGGGTCTGGGTGTGGGTGGGCTGTGGGTGTGGGTGTGGGTGTGGGTGTGGGTGTGGGCGTGGGCGTGGGTGTGAGGTGTGAGGTGTGGGTGTGGGTGTGGGTGTGGGTGTGAGCGTGGGTGTGAGCGTGGGTGTGGGTGTGAGGTGTGGGCGTGGGTGTGGGTGTGAGGTGTGGATGCGTGTATTCGTTCTCTTCATTATGGCACTCAACCCACACTCACACCAGCACCCACACCCACACCCACACTTAAACCCACCCAGACCCACACACACCACACTTCACACCCACACCCATACTCCACACCCGTCAAAAATGGTGAAATCTCGACGAGTTATACCTTATAGTTGATAGCTCTGATTTTCAAAAAAATATCTTTCGAATAGCACTTTCAGTTACAAAAAATTGGAGCACACCGTTGGATGGAGCTCGTCGAGTTATACTAGAAAATATCTTCCGGCGAATCACATGTTAACTTCACTTCTCTTCGAGGATTCTTGTAAGAGATGTAAGTCTAGGTGATAACGGTCAAGAATGAGTTCCACAAAAATACGTTGACTTTTTTCTAAGAAAAGAAAACGTTCCAGAAAAACTGGACTTCGTTCCAAAAATGGAACGGCGAAGAATGTAATCCACTTTTTTTTGAAATGTGTTCTTGACCCTTTCATTTTGAAATGCATTCCAGTTGTTTTGAAACGTTTTCTTTTCTTAAAAAAGCCAACTTTTTTTTTGGAACGCGTTCTATGCCGTTTTTCGGGAGGAATATTTTTACTGGGCAAACAAATAGTTTTATCTGTGTGTGTATTGTTTTATATATGTGTTGCTAGCTGGAGCCATTATAGTATGTCAAATTCTCAAAATGATGTTTTTGTTATTTTGATTTTTCGATTGGTTAATCGTTATATCCAATGAAATTTTTTTCTGGTCGTGCTAGCTTCTCATCGATAATAAGTTACCGTGTATTAAGAATCAACGAAAAATGTTGTTTTGTAAAGAATGAAACACTTCTCCGTCTTGGGTGCGGTTGTTGGTCTCAGCTTCATTCACAACCACATCCATTACGAATAAATTTTAATTAATGTTAATCCCTCAAAATATTCATTGGGTAGTTTCCACTTACAACAGTCATGGCTGAGCCATGTTTTACCACTGCTGCATTTTCGGCGCATTGATGATGTCATATGTCTACTGGGGAAATGTGTACACAAAACACGTACATTAATAGATTCTACAAATGGATTTATTTTTGTACACTTTTTCAAAACTGCATAGCTTGCAGAATAGAGGAGAATGAAGCATGCATTTTTCAGTATGTTTTACGTGAAGGACACAACAGAGAAGAAAACAAAATTCAGATTATTAAGATTTCTCACCCTACACAGTTTTGTAACTTCAAGCGTGGTTTCTTCTCTCCTTGGTAAGTACACTTATGAACATCCCATGACTGAGTCTAAGAAACCGTAAGTAAACTTTTTCCGATAACAAGTGAACCGATGAGGGCCATCTAAACTAGCAGTTACAAAGACACTTAACCGCTATTGATTATTAACATTTTTAGATTTGGTTATTCAAGAATTCGGCAATGACTTCTTGTGACATTCATCGTATCGTTTTCATCTCCGCTTCGTTTCTGGTGTATGAATATGAATCGATCCCTAAAGATGTTCTGGATAGCGCATTGTTCTTTTTTGGCAGCAAGCGTCGATGGATTTTTCCAGAAAGTGACGATGACAGAGCTGAATCACGCGCTCAGCCAACACGATATCTCGATTTTCCGGATGCATTTAAAGAACTCATTCTAACCAAAGAGGCTCGCAATGAAGTCTTTTGGTTAAAGCCTGACTGCTCCTATGAAAAAGTGAGCACTTGGCTTCAGTCACTTGGTTACAAAGAGCTTCAACTTGATGATGCCTACTGGCTTACACAGCCCCATGGCAGACAGATTGTAGCCAACTATAAAACTGGTGAGCACGATTATGAGTCGCTAATTGAACTTGTCAATCAATCGAATGTGGGTCGATTGACCGCTGTATTACGCTACTCCGAAGATTAAAAAGCAATTAAGGGTTTTTATCAAGGGGTAATCGACTGATTTAACTCACTTAAAACTCAAAGTTAACTCAGATAAATCATCCTAACTGACTTTAAATCATATAAATCAGCTTAACTCATTTTAAATCAAATAAATCAACTTAACTCAATTTAAATCAGATAAATCATTTTAACTCACAGTAACTCAGCGTTAATCATTTAAGATTACCAGTTTTTATTCGAGAGAAAAAAAAAATGTTACAGTCGCAAGATAGTTACGATACACTCTTTAAAAAATCGATTTGCCACTGAACCTGTATCCAGGTGAAGAATCTTTGAGGTTTTGTATCGATTTTTCGAACCTAAAAGTAGCTCGGATCTTGATCTGCTGAACCGTTTAGGTTCCTCAAATCGGTAAAAAAAACTCAAAGTTTCTCCACTAGGATACAGGTTCGGTAATAAACCAAATTTGTTTACTGTGTAACTTGATATTTTGCAAAAATTCATATCCAAGAGTTTTCAATTGATTTAACTGGAGTAAGTCATCGCAGTATACAGTTATCGAACATTTTTTCTTGGACCTTAGAGCGTCACATACATTTCTTCATTCTTGATTAATTAATATGTGAGGTGATTCGATAAAAAATAACATATCCTAACGAATGATGTTTTTGTGGGTGTGGGTATGGGTGTGCGAGCAGAGAAAATCACACTCATACTCACATCCTCACCCACACCCAACACCCACACCCACACCCACCCTTGTGAATATGGTAATGTCTAAGGGATTCTTGAATTTCCTAGATCAGAAAAGCAAACTCAAATCAATATCTCGTCTTTAAAAGCAATTCTTCGAATAATGCAATAGAACTGAAATCAGTTTATGTGATTGAAAATGATAGTGAAGCATAGATTTCTACTAATCACTTATATTATCAATCACACCGTTATGAAGATCAGTTTGTAATCAATTATAATAGGTGTGATTCAAACATAATATACATAAATCTTAGTTAAGGATAAGCGATTTCGTATCGAATTAGTCGATTCTGACTCCAATCCCAGAAAAAATTACACTTGCAGATTTTGACATTGAAAAATGAATTAAATTATGACTTAGCACATTTCTAGTATCGTGAAAATCATAAAGCAA